TACGCCCTCCTCTGCCCTGGCGGGGCGGCATTGCCCACAGGAGGGACGCCCAGGACACCCCGCTCCTCCCCGAGTGGGCTGCTCACCGGAGCTGTCCGCATCCAGGACGTCAGCTTCCAGGACCCGGGCCAGGGCCAGGGCCAGGGCGACCATGAGAGCTGGGAGCAGCAGGGCCATGTTGCAGGAGCTGGGGCTTGGGAAAGGGAGATGGGGCTGGGCCTCACGTGGAAGTCCACAGGCTCACACCTGTCATGAGCGCCTTCTGAACCCTGTCCCCTGTCAAAGGATTCCTCCTGAAGGCGGAGACTGCATCCTGCCAACTTGCTGTGTGACCCAGGCAAGTTCCCGACCCTCTCTGGGCCTGTGTTTTCTTTCTTGCCCAAGGTCCCCTGGTGTCAGGGTCTAAGACTACCATGGATACAACTTCACAAGCTGGGAGGAGGTTTTGTGCTTTGACAAGGCTTTAGATCAAACAAACCCTTAGAAATGCACTACATTGCGCCCACAGTAGGTCAGTAAATGCTTATCACATGGATGGTGGGGGCTGGACCCGGCCAGACCCAATCAGTCTGTGGGGTTCCTCCTCTGGGCATTCAGGTAACTGCAGAGAAAGATTCTGTCCATACCGGACAGGCACAGGCTTTCCAGTTGTTATTCCAGGATCAGCGTAACAGCGATTCACATAGCATTTCCACTGTACTGGGTAGGATGAGAAATCTAATCGTGATGGTGCGTTCTCATGACCCAGCACTCTGGGAGGCCGAGGCAGCAGGATCACAAGTTCAAGCCCGCCTGGGCAACTTATGGATTTAGTGAGACCCTCTCTCTAAATAAATAACGGGCTGGGGATGTAGCTTGGTGCAAAGGCACTGGGTTCAATCCTCAGTACCAAAATCAAAACAAAACACCCCAAAGCCAGCTAGAGATGACTTAGAGCACACAGAAGGGTTCACACTGGTGCTGTTTCATGCGAGGGGCTGAACAGCTGCAGATTTTGGCACCCCCTGGGGCTCCTAGAACCAAAGCCCCCCAGACACCCAGGGACAATGTGAACTCCACCTGCCGCCCCGGGGCCAGGCCCCCCTCTCCCAGCTGGCCCTCTGCCTCTGCCCACCATCCCTTCCCCTCCCAAGCTCCCGGCTCCTCCAGGAGGGAGCCTAGACGGACACCAGGAATCCTGCTGTCTCTGCCCCCACCTCCTCCCACCACTGCTCCCGGGGAAACTCTTCAGGCCTCCGCACCCCTCCCTCGCTCCCTCTCCCTTCCTCTGCCAGCCCAGCCGCACCTTTCTGCCTGGCACGCTTTCCCACTGGATCTCTGGCTCAGAAACGCTGGGACAAAGCCCCTGTCTCCCCCAGGCTGGCCTCCCGCCAGGTCCTGCCCCCACCCCACCTTTTGTGCAGGCCCTGGGCCAGGAGGACTCAAGGGTACCCCCTCCCGGGCCTGGCTGCTAGAAGCTGAGAACCCAGAATTCCTCTCAAGACCTCAGAGCACCTGTCCTTTCCTAAGAGAGCTGGGGCCACACTGGGGAACGGGTCGGGCTGACCCTGGGTTCCCAGCAAAGCCAGGTTAGGCACCAGGCCAGTGTGGCCTGGGGTGGAAGCCTGCAGGGCCGGTGCCAACATCATCTTTAGAGCAAGAAGAACATGGGATGCCTGTGATACAGCAGGAGGGATGAAGGTTAGACCACAAGTAGGACTTCCTACAGATCAGGCTTCCCCACTGGGACCGTCTCCCACTCCAGACTCGTTGTTCAGAGGTCACCTCCCCTGTTTCTCCAGCTCTGTTTCACACATGGTCCCCTTTTCCTGAGCCTGAACCAATGGGGAAACTCCTCTTCTCCTGGTCCTCCCAGGCCAGGCTCCACTGCCTCCTCCTCCATCCACTCCACCCCCCGTCCTGGGCCATCACTTGGTTCAAGACATGGCTGGGGGAGGAGTGGAGAGCTGGGGCCTGGGCCTTGGGTCTGGGAGGAGAAGGAGGCCAGGCGAGAGGGGCCAAGAGAGGCCAGCTCCAGGCAGGGGCCCTGGCGAGGGCTGCGCTGTGGCTGAAGTGGGGGCCGCTTGGCATGGCAGCCGGTGCCAGGGAGACGTCTCTGTGTGTGTGAGTGGGGTCAGGGCCCAGCACCCCGCTGCACCCTGTCACTTCCACTCTGACGGCAGGTGACCAGTGAGGGTCGGGCCACCCAGGAACACAGAGGATGTCACATGTCACCGAGAGCAGGGTCACTGACCATGGGGGACCAAGGGGAGCCCTGGGCGGCTTTTTCCTCTCCCCATGGTTATGTGGGGCCTGGCTGCTGGCACAGTGAGGGGCCCTGAGGAGAGCCCTGGCAGGGGGCAGCTGGGCTGCACCCTCGCCTGCCATGCCCAGCCGCCTCCTCCCGTAACCTCAGTGCCCAGGGCACTGTCCCGTCTCTGGCCCACCCCTTCCCTCTCTCAAGCACTTTAGGAACCTTCCTCTTGTTACACTGTCACCCCCCACAGGCCTCAGACCTGACACCAGAGTCAAGACCAGGACTGTGCCCACCCCAACGCCCACCAGCTCGGTGCCCAGTGTCCACCAGTCAGCAGTCGCAGGGCTGCTGTGCAGGACCCGAGCTCCAGGCTCAGCAGGGAGGCGGGGCCCACGCAGGAGAGCAAAAGAACCCATAGTTCCAGGGAGGGCCTAGGGCTGGCAGGAGTAATTGCAACAGTCCCATAAATAGCACTATTTATTGGAGGCACAATTAGTAATACCATGAGCAATGGCCGGGCAGAGCTGTTAGCTCCCCCGGCATACAATCTGAACCGTGGACCTGGGCTTCGGCAGCCAGCTGGCACCCCGTGGAGGTCTATGGTGTGCACCCTTCCCGGATCGGCCCTGCGGTCTGATATCTGAGTGGTGCAGGCAGTAAGGATGCAGAGAAGCCGGGGCCAATCTCTCCGTCCTTTAGAAGCCTTCTGCCCGACCTACTCAGGGGAATGGGGTGTGGACGGCCGGGAGGAAGCGTCCAGCCTGCCCAGGAGGGTACCCCACTCCCAGCCCCCTCTGGCAGAGAAGACCGCCTGTGTTTCTCCCTCACTGTGGGATTGCAAGGCTCAGCGAGGTCAACTAAGTAGCCCAAGGTCACACAGCAAGTAAGTGGCAGTGTTGGGCTCCCAGCCCTGGCCGGCCCAGCGCGAGGGGTGAGGAAGGGTCACCCGCCGCTCCCCC